AAGGTATCATTGCTTGAGATTTTACCTTGTCACATTTCCGCCAAATTAAAAGATATCATAGTTTTGTTGTTCTCCCTCATATAGTCGACGCCTTTGCCATTTTCTATCTCTAAAATTATTTACAGTACTTATTCCTTCAAGTCTTGGTTGTTGCATACACAGCTTCTTCATACTTGACAGAGATAAAATGTAGTTGTCAGCAGAATATGTATGTACTAACTGTTTCCTCGTCATTTTCTGTATGTTCAGAATTTAACGTGGTTCCTCCCAGATGAGTTTGCTGAATCAGAAATCGGGCCAGAAGCAGGTTTTGTGAAACTTTGGTAACAATAGGCTTCTTTTTTCTGCTTTTAGGACAGTTTAGAATATCTTTCAAAGCTGATTTCCTCTCTTTTGAATTGGGATCACTCTTTTCCATATTGTCTTTCTCGTGTAAAAAATTAGCAACTTTAATAGTATTGGCTTTATTGTAAAAGTTCTCCTTCCTTAATGTCTCATTTCCTATGGAGTATTACCTAATGAAAAATATGAATAAGGAATTACTTGAGAGGACAGGAAGGCTTTTATTTTAGCATTTTTCACTTTCCTTCCTATGGTTTTTATCCCCTTTTTTCGCTGAGCTGTCTATTCCTTGCAGTGTCATCCCTTGTAGGAATGATTTCTACCGTGAATGAATACATAATAGAAACAAGTCCAACCGAGGTGCATACGAGATGTGCAGAGTCTTCTTTTATCCCTTTATCATTGTGCCTTACCTTGCTGAAAGACTTGGAAACATCAATTGAGGTTGTGGCTGAGCAAATTTATGGTGAAAAGAACAAATGGAATTTGATTGCCATAACTGAGGCTGTCAAGTAAGTGTCCCAGCTAACTTATTCATACTCTCCAAAAGATATGTTTGGTACTTCACGACTAAATCTTTGCACTGTTTGTTTTCCTTTTCAGGGTTTGTATTAGGCTGGTTATCTTCAGGAAGACTGGGTACAAAATGCTTTTAGAAGGAGGGGAAACTGAAAATGGAGAAAATGATTCTGATTCTTTTAGTCTTCAAAAAACGAAGAGGCAGCTTGGTAAGCCTACAGGGAATGAAGAGTCTGGTATCACAAAAACACTTCATGCGCAAAACTCTGGGAATCTTGAAGACAGGGCAATATCTGCCTTAAGCAGTTTTGGCAAGAAAGCTACAATGCAACATCCACAAGCAATAATGGAACCTCCAAGTAATTGTTTTTTTTGTTCTGAGCTAAATTCAGGTGATTTGATTGTTTTTCTCACTTGCCTTTTAAATTTTTTTAAAAATGTCTTTGTAGGTAAACTAGCTGAGAGACCTAATCTATGGACTTTCTTATCTGAGAAAGGTGTTCCTGGAGGCTTCTTCGTGACGGGAGAGATTTTGTTCATCATTAGGCCTCTTGTTTATGTACTATTGATGAGGAAATATGGAACAAGGTCGTGGTTTCCCTGGTGCGTGTCACTGGCTGTGGACCTCATCGGAAATAGCATTCTCTCAGTTACATTGATGTCTCAACATAGCGGGAAAAATCAGCAACTTCAGTTTTCTGACTCTGAGAAGGATGAGGTTAGGATACTTCAGTATTTCAGCAATTTTCTTTCTCCTCTTACGGAATCTCAGTTCACTTGTACTGACCCTAGACTTAGCAGTTGATGCCTCCTTGGAATAACATCATTTCTTCTTCAACTTTTTTCTCAATTTTCCCGTGTTAGGATCTGATTCTAGACTCTTGTTAGGTGTTGATTCTTTCTTGAACTGGACTGTGCCTTGTTTCTGTCTTTAATCATATCGGTGGAATATTTTCCCTCTGGTTTTTTCTTATGCAATCCTCCATCATCAGGCAACCATGCACCCCACACTTCTTCTGTGCAGAATTTACCTACCAATGGTAGTGAATCCTGTTAAAATTTATATTTTGCATGCTGAAATAAGATGATTTTGTTCAACACTCTTATGCAGTTAAAAAGACGAAGAATGTTATGGGCGTTGTACCTCATGCGAGATCCACTTTTTACCAAGTATACCAGGTAATTATGTGTTTTCTTCTTGTTACATATGCTTCTGATACTAACTAATCCATTCAACGCGAAGTCGAAATCAAGTAGAATGGTGCTAATGCCATCAGTTATTGCAGGCAAAAACTTGAAAGCACTCAAAGGCTAGTGCAACCCATTCCCATTCTTGGATTTGTTGCAGGTATGTTTGAAGATATTTACAGAGTTTGGCTTTTCCCTTGCAATATCTTGACAATATCTGATCTTGAAATGCAGAAAAAATAATTGAAATTCTTATTGGAGTCCAAACGCGTTACACGTACATATCTGGTTCATAACAGGGGTAAGCTATCAGGAGAAATTTGAAGCGTCTACATCTAGACATTTGCAGTCTCTTTTCTTTATTCCTTTTCTTGAGGATTTGGGGAGAGTTCACTATACATCTATGTTGCCTTGGCAGGCTTATGCAAAGTATGTTCCAAAATTGTCAATGTTCCTTTTTTGTATAGTCATCTAGTTTCCAAGAAACTCTTTTCGCGATATTAAAGGGGGAAGCAGCGATATCTACCAGGGTTTCTCTGATATTGTCAAAGTAGATTTAACCTTTATCATAAATCATTACTGAAATGAATGATTCAACAGTTACATCTTAGTGGATGCCATGTATGTACAAGTCCTCCTCAAGTGCTTGAATTGAAATACTCAATTTTTACAACAAATTGCATATTCATCAACAATCTTAATCTATAGCAGCTCCATTGTGAAAAGATGCACACTTACTTGTAAAACAAATCAATCTAATCCACAACAATTTACATTGGAACAAATTAAAGAATTTCACATTTGTGTGTATACAGAGTACTTTAACATGCATTTAGTTGGTGATAAGTCAACATAACGATAACTGTTGTAATATTTCTTTGGCCTGGGGTTGAAGAATGAACAGAGCTTTAAGAGGAAATGGCAAGAAGGAAGGAGAGTAGGAACGTCGTATTATCCATCTGAAGCAGTAGCAGGCCAGGCACTGGTCTCTCTATCTTCTGGCTGTAACCCCCAAGGAATTTCCGAACTAAAATAATAGTTGTGGCACTCTCTTTCTTCCTTAGAGAAGGAACTTATCCTTGAACTTTTGCATCTTTTCCTCCAAATGCAGTTTTCCTTGGAATCTTCCTGCAAGAAAGCAGCACATTAATTAAGAATTTTCGAATAGGTAGGCCAACATTATTTATCTGAAATCTGTATGAAGGTAATATAAGCAAATTCATCATGAGCTTCATGCTTCAGTCTAACTAACTTGAAAGTCTAGAGATTATTTCATATTCTCCTTGCAACCTCATCCTGTTTGAACTTTCACTTCTCAACAAACTTGATTCCACATTCCACCAAATTTCCATCTCCAAATAAAGCAAAAATATTACAGAAAAAAGCACATTAGTAGACTTGGCAACCAATATGTCCAACATCAAGTGCCATGTAAATAAAAATTGACATAAGAGAATTGGTAAAGAATACTGATGTACATATACGAAAGGAGGAACTGTAAAGGCCTTTCACTTCATCATTGGTGATGCCACCCAACTTTATGTCTGTCCTCTGTTTTGGTGAGGAAATAAAGAAGATACATCTAAGACCTGTAAAACTGGTGGGCAGACATGATTGAATTAAGAAATGAAAATAACATGATCTGTTCGTCTATGCCAAGGATAACAAAAGAAAATCCGACATACACTTCTAAATGAGCTCTTCTACAAAGATAGTACTTTCGTACAAAATGAATTATTGTACACAAGTAGAAGCCAAATATGTGTTATGCAGTTTCGTTAACATGTACAGGCAGGCTGAGTTCATTTCCAGGCCCAGCTACAACAGCCTTCAACCAAATAGAATAAGATCATGAAAAGGAAGTCTAAACTACTGTTTGGAAGAGACCTGGTGGATGATCCTGTCATATAAAGGAAAATCTAGATGGGAAATCAAGCTACTATCTTTTTATAAGTCTCTCAAGGCTAAAAGAAATTCAATCAGAGAGCTGGATTTTGCTTGGGAGGAGGGGTGGCCCATGGGGAAGAATAGCAGATAAATATTTGGTAATCTTCAATGCTAGCAAGAGAACAAAAGTTTCTTCTCGATTTCATGCACAAGCATTCACTATATTCTGCTATTAGCAAATAGCATATACCGAATACTTTATACAAATATATTATCAAATAGTTTAACCAGTTCATAAAAGTGAAACATCGAGACAATGCATGTGGGTCATCACAGGGTCTGCAATCCACAGAATACAAAATGTGTTCAACTTCCAGAAAGCTATCACTATTGAAACAATGTTCATAAGCAAAGGAGACATATATAAGTACAGATAATTACTATTCTAAACTCCCACGAACAAGAAAATCTGAGTAGAAAAAACAATGATGAGACAGAAGAGACAGGAGAAGGGGCTATACTACCTTTCCAATCTTGTACAGAACATTGCCATGCTAGTATAAACAATTTACTCTTTCAAATCAGAAGAAAAGAGGGATGAGAATGAGCAATATATAGATATCCAACACTCCATCCTATCATCCCGTAAGCTTAGAGAAGGAAAAGATGTTGAGTATGTGGTTCCTTCTTAAAAAACATGTTTCTAATCATCTTCCATGAATTACCAAGATATCACTTGCTACATAGATATACGAACATATCATTCAGGAAAAATAACAAACCACAAGAAAAGTGTCAAAGTTACAAGAAAAAAGACGCTAATGAAACACAAACATTCCTGAGACTGCGAAATCAGTTCTAGACTGGCTTTATATACTACAGAAATGGAAACTAGGGAGAAAGTAATGCCCAGCTCAAAACTATCTCTGCTTGTACAAGGAGGACGAAGGATGAGCATCAACTGCCTTTGAGCCACTGCGTTGGTTTAGTTCAGTCGCTGGAACAGTATTAACAAACTGATGTGGTGGAGGCTTAGTGTTTGGCAACCCCATAGAGCCTTCCAATTATGGTGGTGGCCTATAAGCATCACCATTTATAGTGTTCGGCAACTCCATAGAGCCTTCCAGTTTTGGCGATGGCCTATTAGCATCACCAGGTATGGTGTTTGGCAAACCCTTAGAGCTTTCCATGTATGGAACAGGCCTATAAGCATTACTGGGTATGGTGTTTGGTAACCCCGGAGAGACTTCCAAGTACGGTGGTGTCCTATTAGAATCACCAGGTATGGTGTTTGGCAAACCCTTAGAGCTTTCCATGTATGGTGCAGGCCTATAAGCATTACTGGGTATGGTGTTTGGTAACCCCGGAGAGACTTCCAAGTACGGTGGTGTCCTATTAGAATCACCAGGTATGGTGTTTGGCAAACCCTTAGAGCTTTCCATGTATGGTGCAGGCCTATAAGCATTACTAGGTATGGTGTTTGGCAACCCCGGAGAGACTTCCAAGTACGGGGGTGTCCTACTAGAATCACCAGGTATGGTGTTTGGCAAGCCCTTTGAGCTTTCCATGAATGGTGCAGGCCTATAAGTATCACCGGCTATGGTGTTTGGCGTTGATGGCCTATAAGTGGATCCATAAAATTGACCAGTATGACTACCTATTTGCCCGGGTATGCTATCAACTCGATTCCCTCGATGACCTCCAGCAAATGGAACTCCTTGCAGGACAATATCCATGCCTGCATGAATACTAGTAGCACTTGCTGATATACCTGCTCCAGGTCCACCAATGGCCACACCTCTCACAGGTCCTGCCAGTGAATAACCAACATTTTCATGAATTGAGCCCGCAACAGGTCCATGCAATACCAAAGGTGGCATAAAATAACCATAATTGTGGCCAGCAGTTCCACCACCTTCAAACAAGGTGTTATTGCTAATGACATTACTAGCAACTCTTTGATGTTGTGGCGGCCATGGATTTGAAGAATGTGAGTGTTTCACTTCTTTGTTGCTCAACCACACAGTTCCATCCTTTTTTCTCTTATGCGATCCATGTGCTATCTTCTTATCAGGTATCTGCTTATTGAATTCAGCAATTTCTTTCTCCAAACTCGCTATTCTCTTACTGATTTCCCATCCGGGAAGAACTTTTGAAGGATCAACCTCGTGATTTCTCAAACATTTGATGATCGATCTCAGATCACCTAAGTACTTCCCTTTTGCTACAATATTCCCTTGATGTGCACTTTGTGATCCATTCATGTTGTCAAATAATTTTTTGGACTCTCTTATAAATGTTGTTAAAAGTGTCCTAGGGTTAAATTTGTCCTGCATTCCAACACTATAGACAATATGAACAGCTTTAATTACTGCCTTGTTCGCCACCATTTCCTCTATTATTTCTGGAAGCTTCGCCATGAGAGCGTTTGATCTTTTGAGTGCATCAAAACTCCACTTAAGGTTACTTACCTGAAGCAAAGTTCTGATATTCGCATTTGTAAATTGATCTGGAATCCCGAAACCCCCAATAAAGAAGAGCAAACCTCGGGCATCAATTTCTTGAAGCTTTCCTCCTCCTTCAGACTTCATCCTCTCCAACCATGCTAAAGCTGTTTGCTCTGCCTCTTCCTTCACCCAATTCTCAATCTCAACTCCCTTGTCACAGATTCCTATCATTAACAAGAAGCACTCCAAAAGCAATACTTTAGCCTTCCTTCCCCGTCCCAAAGGTGATTCATTAGCAAACTTCTTGCCCGCTGTAATATAAAACTTACCGATACAATTAAATACAAGGGTTGCAGGATTGGGCGAAAGTCTCAATGCCTTACAGACTTCTTCACGCAGTCCACGAAAATTTGAAATATGTGTTGTCATATACTTCCGCAAACCACAATGGTCCATCGTTTCGCAGAAGATTTCTAACTCTGAACGGGGCGATTTCAGTTCTGAAAGAGGCGATTTCAGTTCTGAAGGAGGCAATTTCAGTTCTACGTGAAGCGAATTCACTTCCTCGCCTTCGTCTTCACCTTCGCCCTCGCCTCCCTCCACTTCCTTCTCCTCTTGCTGGACTTCTTCTTCTTCTTCTAGGTCTTCAGAGGGGTCAGATTCCCAAGATGGTTCTGGCTCCGGGGCCGGGGCTGAGGCTGGGGTTGCAACTGCTGGTGATGATGATGAGGCAGGTAAAGGTTGAGGGGGTAGCAGCATAGTGTTGATTGAGGTTTGTATTGAATTAATGTGTCGTTGTAGATCATTGAAGCATTGTTGGAAAGCGGTGAGGGAATCGGAGAACGTGCGGAGATTGTCGGCAGTTATCGATACCTGACAATGTGATGGTTGCAATTGGGTGGCCAACGGTGGCTGCGACACCGGCGTCGCTGTGGCGGAAGTATCCATCGTATTCAGCGGAGGAGAAGTGAATAATTCTTTACCGAGAATTGGTACTGTTAACCCTTTCCTTTTTCTTTTTGGAATTGTGATTGATGCTACCAAAGCCTTGTTTGATAAGGACTAAGGAGTAGAAAGCATATTTTCCAACGTTTTCCACGTTTAGTTGGTTAAATATTAGTACTATATTTAAAAAAGACTAATGAAAATAGTAAAAATAAATTTCATAATTGGTAAATTATACATTAATTGTGTCTTCTCCGCTCTCAAGCATACCTTATTTTAACCCATGATATGTTTAGAATATTAGTACTTTTTTTTATGAGAAAATGGCTAAATGAGCCCCCAACCTATTACCGAATTTTTAATTACATACTTATACTTTACGGGGTCCTATTACCCCTCTGAACTATTTAAAATTAAAATTATTACCTTCCTAAATGCCTACGTGGCAAAGTGAGTGTATTTCACTCTCTCAAAGAGAGTGAAGACCAAAAATAAATATTAAAACTTTATTTTTAATATTCTTTTCACTTTTTTCCCCTTAATTTGTTTATTTTTTTAAAAAAAATTAATAAAAAGGAAGTCAAATTAAAACACCCAAAGTAATTGAAAAATCAAAACAAAAAAAAAGCTACAGAACAATTTGTAAACTAAGCTCCTTTCTTCCTCAGAACTCCAAGCGACGGTCCAACGCCGCCGCATTGATGCTGGAAAATCGAGGTACATAGTTGAAGCCAACCTCAATCACACCAAACTTGAAACTCCTATGAAATTATCAGCTATATAACTCTCATCACATAGATCTGCCATGGAAATAACACAAAAAGCTTGGATAAATTTCATCCAAGACAACTATCTCATCGCTAATTTCTTTTCTTCTTCTTAGCAACTTAGTAGAGCATTCATGTCAGCCATCAAATTTCACCATCACGATCTGGAAATCTCCTTCCCACTCTCCATAATCAAAATCTATTAAGTAAATTACTTTACACCCATTTTCAAAATCAACTAATAGTCATTAAAACTCCACTGAAATGCTATTTTGAAGCTATTGTAACAAACTTTTCCAGTTAACAAAATTCATTCAAACAACTTAATAATGATGGAATCTCTAAAAAAAAATGTTCTCAAAATTTCCTCATCGGAAAAGATTCTGACGGACAATTTATTTTTTAGGTCAATTAAATTGACATTAAATCTTATCATTTATGCACCTATTCCATGACCATAAATTTAATAATAATTTTAGATTTAATAAAAAAAGAATTTAAAAAAGGGAAGAAAAAAAGAAAAAATGACATTGATGTGTTCACGGATTTAAAGAAAAAGGAGGAAGAGAAAGGAAAGAAATGTCAATTAAAAAGGTAACATAATAAAAAAAATATAAAAAGTTACATGTGTCAAACGCATGAATTTCACTGATCAACTTAAATGTGGTTGTGACTTTTTAATGAGGTAATAATTTTATTTTTAAATAGTTTAGGGGGATAATAGGACCTCCGTGAAGTATAAGTGTGTAGTTGAAAATTCGATAATAGATTGGTGGCTCATTTGATCATTTTCTCTTTTTTTATTGACATACCGAACATAAAAATAAGTCAAAAGAAAATTACTTTTTAAATAACTAATACCATGGAATACACACTCTAAGTGGTCGTTTGGTAGAGTGTATTAGGAAAAATAACGCATGCATTAGCACTGTGTATTACTAGTACCTTGTTTGGTACTCTTTTCCAACCTATGTATAACTAATGCTTGCATTAGTTATACACTCTATTGTGTATTAAAGTGTGTATTGCTAATACCATGAATTTCTAGGTATTAGCAATGCAATGGTTTTAATGCATGCATTAGATTAACTAATGACAAAACTACACTCTATTAATAATAATAATAATAATAATAATAATAATTATTATTATTATTATTATTATTTTTGTAAAAGAATGTGTGGGTATTTTTGTAAACAAATATTTTTTTAATAGTCTTTATACAAGACTTGCTATTTCCAATACATCAAACCAAACAATGTATAAGAAATAATGCAAGCATAACTAATGCAAGCATTACTAATGCTTGCATTACTAATACATCATATTCAACATTATTCTTATACACTCTACCAAACGACCCCTAAATGAATCAAATTATGTTTATTGAAGCAAGTAAATTGAGATAGTAAAACGTTATTTTAATATAAAGTTATCAAATTCAAGAATCCATTCGTATTGTCCGTGTTCTCTTAACACTCCTTCATCTGTTTATTTTTTTAAGAATAAAACAAAAATACAAAAAAGAGATAATCGGTTACATAAACATGTATACACACATGCATTTGGACTGAGAAAAGATGGCGATGAAACCTCAAAACCGAATATAAGGTTGTTTGGTATTGAGGATGTTAAGAGATAATAATAAGCCAACTTTACTATAATGATAAAATAACAAATATCATGAAATACACAAATTTAATGTATGCAATACCACATACCAAAGAGAAAATCAAATCTTGATTAAAAATATGATAGTCAAAGCTCTAGCGCCGATCAAGGTTTCGACATCTAAGACTAAAAACTCAAACCACACAACATATGTATAATGAAATGTTTTAATAACGTAAGATAAAAAGGGATAGATATATTGAACCAAGTTGAACATTTGAAATACATATTATAATTTCAACTGTTTACCAATGTTTTCCATGAAAATTCTAAGTTCAAGCAAAATCTGTAAGTAGACAATAAACTTCCTAAAATACACTCAAGGGGAACAACAAATGGAAAAGGGGACAACACTTCATAAACTGAATTCTTCGACTTCTTCTAATCGAAAAGACTGAAGCCCATGTCATCATCTGACTCCTCTTTTTCTTCAACTTTCTTTTCTTCCTTCTTCTCCGCAGCAGCAGGTGCAGCAGCACCGCCACCACCAGGTGCAGCAACTGCACAAGCAGCACCTCCACCAGCAGGTACTGAAGCCAACTTTTCTCTGCCGGCAGCAATCAACTCAGTGATATCTTTGCCCTCAACTTGAGAGAGAAGAAGTTGAATCCTATCATCATCAGCCTCAGCTCCAACTGCAGCATGTATGTAGAGTGTTAATTCAAAATGAACCACTAAAACCAGCAGACATGTATCACAGTAAAGAATAACAAGCCAGCACAGTTTATTATGGGAGCATGAACCTAATAGCATATAGCCAGTTACATACAAGACAATACATAGAAACAGTGCAATCCCATTCAATATCTACTAGTTCAGTAGGATCAACTAAATTACACATAATCAGTTTAAGATACTTCAGAGAGAAAACCCATATAGAACAATATTCAATAGCATCAAGGTAATTATATATTGCATCAACTTTAGACATTTGAAGTTGAATCAATTACTGCAAGGTTCTTAATACAAAAAAAAGAAGCAAGTATTACAGTATACTTTCCCTCCAGACAGGTCAAGCAGGTCAGGGCACAAGATGGATAAACTTAAATAGGCATCATTGTAGTCCAACTTAAACTTACTTAGAGAACCATGAAAACCGAAAACAATACTAGAGGCTAATGAAACCAAAATGTTACCCATAGTAATAATAGCCACTACTAAACCTGGTAACTTGAACGAAGGCAAGGAACGAGTTTAACTTCATGCAGTTCCATAACCCCTAACTACTCTTCAGTCCCAATTTACACAACTATACATTCAAGGGCGTTCCCTAGATCCCAAAATATTTAACGCTAGTTCACTAATATGAACTAGTATATAACTTCCAAAATTCCAAGTTCTGAAAAATTTCTATCAATCTAATTTTTTCACCATTCCTACAATAGCTACCCCTAATACAATCACAAGTCAAATTGTCATATTATAAGCTGGTACTTCTCTCATAATAGCTAATAATCTCTAATCTCTAGCAATTGAGCTAAATCTCTCTAGGAAAATCGACAGAATGTAATGCATAATTTGTTACTTCGGATAGACGTACAAGTAATTTAGGCAGATAAACCAACTACATACACATACTAATAAATTACTTCACGGATCAGTGGCTATAGAGTGATGTAGAAATGGTAACACATTCCGGATCCATATGCAATAAATCCGTAAGACGGGAATATGTATATATACAGAAAAGTAAAAAACTTGAAGGTCGTACCTGATGCAAGGATTTTCTTCAAATCCTTCTCTGTAGGGCAGGTGTTGCCACCCAAGACGGCCAACAAGTAAGCGGCGATAACCTTCATTTTCTCTTTTCTGTTCAAAATTAATACAACAAACAACACATTTAGATATAAATCGTTGAAAGAGCAGAAAATAAACTACGAACAAATAGAAAATTGAGAGGGAGAAAGTACTTTGGAGATTTTGAGCAAATTAAGCCTTCAAATGGCGGACCTTCAGTGCTGCTCCTAGGGTTTATGAAGAAACAAGGAATGATAAGATTATATAGCTAGGGTTTTGAGCGGCGTGGGTTACAAATTTAAGGGCCCATTTGGTGTAATTGTCTTTATTTTTCTTTGAAGGCCCAGGCCCTATAAAACATTGGACAATCTACAAAAATATCCAATTGGGCTTAGTTACAAAATTGGGAACATTATTATTATGGGAAAAATTACATAAGTGAAGGTCTTTTATTTAATAATTACCACTTTAAGTATACTTTTAATTTATTATCATTTTTGTCAACTTTTAGCAATACTTACTTAAAACAATTATGTTTCTTTAAACTTAGCAAAAAGTGTTGTCATTAGCAACTTTTAGCGATACTGCTATTCAGCCAAATTGTTATATATGGTTAAAAAAATAATGTTGACAAATGTCATAAATATTTTTTAAAAAGTGTACACGTAAGTGATTTTCCCAAAATTATGCAGAATGACAAACATTTAGCCTATATTAGATACTATAGCTATAGTTTAAAAAAATTATAATTCACGGCTATAATTTTACCAATTTTTGTTATTTGCCTAATTTGTATAATTCGTCTGATTTGTATACATCTAGAATTTG